GGGGGCCAGGCATGGCCACAAACTGGGTGGCTTTAATAACAGAAATGTTCTGGAGGCCAGAGGTCTGAAGTCAGGGTGTTGGCAGGGCCACCCTCCTTCGAAGGCTCTAGGGGAGGAGCCTTCCTTGCCTCTTCCAGCTTCTGGTGGCTCCTGGCGTTCCTTGGCTTCTGGCAGGATCACTCCAATATCTGTCTCCACCTTCTCATGGCCTTCTTTTCTCTGTGTGCCTCTGTGTATCCTCTCCTCTTTTTAGAAAACACCAATCATTGGTTTCGGGCCCACCCTAAATCCAGGATGGTTTCCTCTCAAGATCCTTAACTAATCAGATCTGTAAGACCTGATTTCCAAATACAGTCACATTCTGAAGTTCTGGGTGGACACGAATTTTGCGGGGTGCACTATCCAACCCACTACACTTGCCTAAGGTCTGGTACATGGAGGAAAAACGAGGTTCCAACCTGGGTGTAATGCAGATTTTCCTTTCACATTCAAGCTTTATGCCCCCCAAATGCCAGTTATTTCCAGACGACCACCAAGAGAGTCACACAGCACACAGAGTTTCGTGAGGAGTTAAAGGCATGCTTCAGGAAAGAGTCTGCCTTGCACCCTTGTAGTTCAGCCAACAATCTGAGCAATGACGCCTCCCGAGTTCTGTTCACTCAGCATGACTCTGGAGACACAGGCTCCCCAGCGTCTCCCCCACCTGCTGGGCAAAGCCATTTAGTGACTACATTTGGTTACCTGAGTTTCCCACACGGTGTCTCCTTTCCACCAACGCGCCTTATCACAGCTTTATTACGAACCCATCCATGGCTCTCTTCAAGAAAGATTTCTCTGTGATGTCGCACATGTTCCTTGCTTTAGAAAAAAACAAATTATTTCAAATAATGCAGCGATTTACAAAGTAGAAGGTGAAGAGTCTCTCTCCTCCTTACTTCTCGCTCAGAAACAGCTCATGTTAATATCAATATAAACTGCAATTCCTGTACATTTAAAGAAAAGAAATTGGAATATGAGAGAAGAACAAGGGAAAAACCTTAATATTTGACAGCGTTCTCTTGGCTCCTGTCTCCTCCATTGTATTTTCTTGTCTCCTTCATCCCAACCAAACTGTCCCACGCGGGGCCTTTGTTTCTCTTCCTTTGAACTAGAAACCATCTTCTGATTTTCATTTTATGAGGAACATTATTTGAAAAGAGCCCACAGACAAATGAATATCTTCTTGGTAGAATTTTAAAGGCACAAGAGATTTAGACAAGACTCTGTGTGATTTTAAAATAAGGCTGTAGTATTCTATAACTATATTTGGTATTTGTTAATGAATATTTCAAGCAACATGAAATGTCTCACTCTACTGAAAATCAGGGTTACTCAACACTTAGGATCTTTCTATTTGGGTCAACATGGCAAGAAATCCCAGATTCCCCTTGTCTTTATTCAATACAGCTGACTCTTCAATGGAGTTTATGTCTCAATATAACTTATTTCCCCCGGATGCCTGGTGAAGTTTTTACCATAAACATGAGGCCCAAAGGAGAAGGTAGAGGCAATTGAACCAATATCTGTTCCTATGAAATAGAAAAGTCAACTTGATTTGATGTTTCACTGCCTCCAGGAAAAACGAGATTCACCAACTAATGGAGAACTTTGAACACAGGAGAAGGAAAGAAATGTCCTGACAACCTGTGACCCTGGAACAGCTGCAAATATAAAGATGTGAATGAGTCACGGGGGTCCTGCTGACTCCCCAGGAGTCCCCTGGAAATGGGGGCTGGTAACAATGCTCAGTCCCCGAGTCTACACCAGCGTGCCCAACCTGGGCACACAACGAGGGTGAGGTAACATGGATGGCAAGCTCCACGGGGCAGGAATCATCTGTTTTCATTTTTCATCATATCCTCAGCAGCTAGCACACTGCCATTGCACAGTCTGTGCCCAACGAGATATTTTGAAAAAGGTAATAGCATAAAAGTAGTACAAGCCATCCTGGCGATGGGACTGTTCCGTATCTTGACTGTGGTGATCTCACAAATCTACATGTGACAAAATGGCACAGATTCTGTCCCTTCCACTAAAAAGCTCTTCACTGATCTTTCATCTAATAATTTTATTCACTGCTGATCTTTGCCTGAATCAATTAATTCACTGGAGACAAAAAAAAAAGGGATGATTTTCTAATTGCCATTCTTTCAACATTTATTGGCTTTAATTAGCCTATAGAGAAGACTATTTTCCCTCATCAGCTATGGCTATTTCATAACCATGTAATTGTGATAGGCATACTGTATCCAGTCTTCAGAAGGGCATCTGACTTGTCCACTCAGGAAAGCCTTAGGGACAAAGATGAGAAGTAAAGACCAATATGTCCACATCTGTCCCCGTCTAGATCTTGTAACATACAGGGGCTTTATTTTCTCTTTGCTAGGGTCAAATTCCACTTGATTTTGGGTCCCATCCCTTCCTTTCTTCTCAAGGACCTTATTCCCTCTCTAGTTTATAGCCAGCCTCTCCCTCTCAATGGCACTGATCTGGATGATGAAACGATGGGTCTCATCCCCTTACCGACCCACCTCCTATCCATCACCAATTGATTCCTATGTATTTCTCAGGTCCGTCCACATTTCATCAACTTGACAGCCTCTTCTCTACACCAAGCCACCTTCATCTCTACCCTGGATACGTGCAATGGTCTCTTTACTGATCTGCTCACGTCTTCTTTGCCTCCCTCCAATTCCTTCCCCACCAACAGTCAAAGTGATCTTTTCAAAACATAGATCTGATAATTTCCTTCGTTTTGAATCCTCCCATGGTTTAAGATAAAGACCGTGTGGTCTGCAAACCCTGGCATAGTCTGGACCTCGTTACCTTTACCAACTCCATCAAGCACCCCTCCCCCTCTCCCTTGGACTTTGTTCACCAAGTACTTTACCTTTCTCACCACAGGTCCTTTGCGTATGCCGTTTCTTCTTTGTGTGCAGTCCAGGTTTTCTCAACATCAGCACTACTGGCATTTGGAGCCAGACCATTCTTTTTTGTAGGGGGTTGTCCTGTGCTTTGTAAGGTGTACAGTAGCATCTTCCCACCCCCATCAGTTGTGTCAGCCAAAAACATCTCCAGGCATTGCCAACTGTCCCCTGAGGGTCAAAATCTCCCCTGTTGAGAACCACTGGCCTAGAGTGATCTTCCTCTCTGCTTATCAAATCTCAGTTCAGAAGTCACCTTCTCAGGGAACCCTTTCCTGACTCTTCAGGCTAGACCCAGTCTCCCGCTTCAGTTATTAATTATATGACTGACAATTACTGTTTCTCACTGCACTGTCTGCTGCATGAGGGCCAGGGGCCATGTCCACTTCCCTCATCACTGTATTCCCAGTGCCTGGGAGAGTATCTGCCACTTAATATTTGTTGAATGAGGGAATGAATGCATTTAAGGTCAAACCTGTCTGATGCAAAATCTACACCTTCCTCCAAAAGTCTAGTCTATCATTTATTGAGGCAAGTACTGAGCCAAGTACCTCATTACTGAGAGGGTGGTCTTATGTCTTATCCTGTCCATTTTACAGATGGGAAACTGGAACTTATGCAATACTAAATGACCTGCCAATGACATCAAAACACTAGAGCCAAGACCCAAATCTATGTTTTCTCACCCCAAAGTCCAAGCTGATAGGTGTGAATGTGAACACAGATGTCCAATGCTTTGCTGTGGGGCTTGGTCTTCTATTCTGTAAGATATTTAAACTCAGTAATTTGAAATAAAATGTAAAGACCATGCTTAAGAAATGTGATAGAATCAGAACCCCAAAGAGCCCTGTGAAGGCATAGTAGGCTACATCTATAGGGTGGAATTTTTAAGAAATGTAAGAGTACATCTAAACAGGGAAGAAATGTAGCAGATAAACAAACAAAAAATAACCTCACACCACATTCCAGGGTTTCGTGATGTTCGCTATCAGGGAGGTGAAGGATGATTCTGACTCTCAGATTTCCCAAAATGGCAACAATCCCTATGTTTGTTCTGACACCCCACCCCAAACCCAATCCCCTACTGTGATTAGCAACAAAAACAAAGTTTAGAAAAAAATACCAAATAAGAGGGGAACTGGGAGACAGATTTCCACTTCAGTCTTGTTAGAAAGGAAACCCAAGAAATAAATTACAAGGTGGCTGCCTTAAGATGGAAAAAAGAAGGAAGAAAAGAGGAACATCATGGCGTACTTCCAAAATCGGCCGAGATAAAAGACTCCCTGAAATATCAGTCAAATGAATGACTGTTTTCTCTGGACAGAAGGCAGCTGTGATGGAAATCCTGAGATGGAGCAGTGAAAGCTAAGGGGATTCGCTCTGTAGGCAGGGGTCCCAGATTTGCATGTCTTGATTTGACACTCAACTTTTAGCATCAGCACAAAAAGAAAAAAAAAAAAATCCTGAAGGAGCTTTTACCAGAAATACTTTTTTCTTCGTTCTCAAAAGATAAGCACTGTTTCAAAGAGAGAAATTTGCTTAAATAAAAAAAAGTCAACAAGCATACAGTACCTCTATTATCTGCCAAACTAAGTGCTACAGGAACCTAAATAAGAACAAGGCAGCTCCTGCCCCTAAGAGCTCTATAAATTGTTACTGTTGTTCGGGGACCATTTCTGAAATGTTTGAAACACAGCACTTTCTTTTCTGAAGTATCTCAACCACTGCAGGTTACAATTACTGATTTACAACTCTACGCAGGTCTGCCCCCGGCCCCCCACAAAGTGAGTGTAGAGAATCAAATTCATCTCCATGTGGGATCTACTCAGCCCATATTTAAGAACCTGGAGGATTCCACAGTGCGATCCTATTAAATGGTCCCTAAAACCAAATAGAAGCCACATTCTAGAAAGGATGAATCAGTCACTTTGATTTCATTTTAACACTTTGATTTCATTTTAACGCAAAGAGGACAGAGTCAAATAATTTGAAAATCATCTTAATAGATGATTAATAGGAGGCACTATGACACTTGTGTACCGGTTTCTGTAATAATTTTACTGCATAAGGAATGACAGAGATTGCATAAATCATTAGGTCAACAGCATATATAGGAGGATAGAACAAAACGAACATGATTACTCTGACCCAATAAAACAGGACAGTCCGATTCTTAAAAATATCACAAACTCCCCAAATGTGGTTCCTTTTGGGAGAAAATTTACCTCTTGCATTTTTTGGATATAGTAATGACTATGGTTCCATGAAACTAAATAGAAAACTGCTTTCCAGTCAAAAAACACAAAAAAACAACTTACATAGAAGTGTGTAGCCCTCTTAATACTGGATGTAACAAAAATAAAGACATCAGGCTGCCTGCTTTTGCCTAAAGCATGGCTTTAATTTTCTATTAATAGTGACAGTTTATGTAGGATACTACATAATTTCCTATGTTATGAAACAGCACAAGTTGAAGAATCCAAAAAATATTGCAGGAGTGAATTTTTTCCTATGGGAAAAGTGTAGATACACTAGATGTTAAAATTTCCATTCTTCATTCAATTATTTGCCCCATTCAAAAAAAAATACAAATAAATATTTCCTTACAAATGATGTTCATAGCACATTGTTTGGGAAAAAAAAAAGATTAAAAAAATCTTAATTTACTCTTTCTTGTCATTAAATAAAAATTCTAATATACAGACACATTAGATATTTATATAAATTGTAGGAGTCCGTTTGTCATTTCTTGTTCACAATCCATGTTTAATAATATGAGTCTTTACAACAACACGACTCACATCCCAAATGCAGGTTTAATTCTGCTGCAAGTCGCTCAAGATAATTTTTTTCTGTTTTTCTTTTTAATTAAAAAAGACTTCATCCTTGGAATTTTAGAATTTATGTTTGAGTTGTCTGAAAAAATACAATTTCAATGCAAAAACCACATCAAGCATTCGAGAGTATATTGCTGGTGCTGTAATCTTTTTGCATGTCTGTTTTCACAGAAAAAAATGATAAAATAAACAACATGTAAGACTTTTAAATGGTTAAACGTAAGCACATGATATTAATGATCTGCCTCATGCACACACACACAAACTCAAAAATGAAGGAAAAAGGCTCAGACGTTTTTCTTTTGCATTTGTTCCAGCTTTCTTCTTAGAAGACCATAATTCTCCTTAGTTCCTGATGCCATTGGGTCAAGCCGCAGAGAGATCTCATAGTGTTTTTTGGCCAAGTCTAGATGTCCCCAACGATGATAAAGCACAGCTGAAATAGCAAGAGATCAATTTCATTGGAAATGCTTCTGAATAACTTGTGGTATTCCCAACCACTTGTACAAAGAAATATTACAGAACCTCTGCAAGCAGTGTTCAAAAATCATTGTTTAAAACAATATTGTTTGTACTGCCAACTTTATTTATCGTAATCACACTCCCTGGTGAATGTCTGTTTAACCACCCCCAGTTACTCCCAGGGTTCTTCATATCATTAGGCGTGATCCATCTCCCTACAGCAACATTGTTACATAAAGAAGCAAAAGGAAGAGTACACTAAGTTTCTTGATGCTGCCAGGAAATTTCCCGAAAGCCAGGCTGCACAGGGCTGGGCTCCAGCACTGCTTAGCGCTCTGACCATGTAGAAGACCAGCCATTTACTTTAACGAAGAGTCTCCTATACCTTTTGGCAAAATAATAGCTTGTTTGTTGCCAGCTGGAATTCAGGGCTCTAACATCAAGATCTGACCATAAAATGATAGTTAAAGAAATCTACTTTTTTTTTTTTTTTTTTGGCTGCGTCGGGTCTTAGTTGCGGCACGCGGGATCTTCGTTGAGGCATGTGGGATCTTTCGTTGCGGTGTGTGGGCTTCTCTCTAGTTGTGGCGTGCGGGTTCTCTCTTCTCTAGTTGTGGCGTGCAGGCTCCAGGACGCGTGGGCTTTGTAGTTGTGGCGCACGGGTTCCAGAGCGCGTGGGCTCTAGTTGAGGCACGCGAGCTCGGTAGTTGTGGGGGGCAGGCCTAGTTGCCCCGCGGCATGTGGGATCCTAGTTCCCTGACCAGGGATCGAACCAGAGTCCCCTGCATTGTAAGGCAGATTCTTTACCACTGGACCACATGGGAAGTCCCAAGAAATCTACTCATTAGAATGGTAAGCCTCTGACTATTACAATGATTCTCTAAGTAAAACTATCTTTCTATGTGGGCAGTACAGCAACCACTGATGCTTCATCACTTTTCCAAGGGGAAGCTACAGAGTCTATAGTGAAGAGATCTGGTGAAAAAATACTCACGTGACTGAGCCTTCCAAACATCAACATGCTATGTTCTAAAAATCTAAATTATTGAGATGCAAAAATGAAAGAAAGGAATTCTAGGGAATAAGTCATTGTGAACGCATTCTTAGCCAAGACACAGAACAGAAGAACGCAGGGAAGACCAGGCTAGATAAGGAAGGTCCACTACAGAAGAAGCAAAAGGACACATGTCAGACTGCAAACTTCCAAAGTACTTCTCAGTTGAACTATCTAGGGCTCTTCACTCAAAGAAAGAAAATCTGAGTTTTAACATCAGAAGGCGATTAACTAGTGGGGGATTTTAGGAGTTGTTCTGATCATGCAATTAAGATTTGTAAATATGACTGTTACTTAGCTACCTTATTAATGTGATAATTTCCTTAAAATGCCATATTTTAGAACCAGATTATAAAGGCCAATACAGGTTAGATTTGAATAACAACTCTCCCCACAGTGATTTTACAGAAATGCACCTGTTTCATTAAAATTACACAGAATTTCGATATGATTCAAATTGAAAAATCTCCTTACCCAAATTGCCATGGTAACTTGCAGTATTTGGATGAGCTTTAATTGCTTTGAGGAATAAAGCTTCAGATTCCTAAAAAACGAAATACATAAAAAATAAGGTACTCCACACGATGCAAAAGTTTTATGCAGTTTTATCGCCTATGGGTTTCAAACTTTGAACGTGCTTGTTTTGCTCCACCAAATCCTTCTTCTGGAAACATCTGGGAGCCCAGCAGGGCCACACCCTGTTGAGAAGAGGCTCGGAAGGGTGATCCATTGGGGCAGTGTGTGACTGGGCAAAGGTGACAGGGCAGTAGTCAGGGGATGGTGGCCGCAGAGAGGATGAATATGTTAATGACTCTGCCACCTGCCTCCCTGAAGTGGTGGGAATTCTGCAACTTTAAGCAAGTAGCTCAGTTCAGGGTCCAGGGCAGGATGAGCAAAGGTCAATCAGGAAAGTGCCGGGCTGCTGAGGACACCCACACAAATGTCATTTCTGGTCAGCATCGATGAGCTCATTTCTAAGATTCTCAAGGTAGGAGGTGGAGTCTGTTTAACCTCCCCTAAGAACGCACACCCCCTCAACGACCCAGAAGCAGCCCATTCAGCTGGAGGAAATGAGCAGAGAGAATGAGGGAGAAACAGCCGCCTGTCACCTCAGCAACTGCAGGACTGTACGCGAGTGTGACCAAATGCCCCTGAAGTGCGGAACCGATTCTCAGAGAGACTTGCATTTCCCCCATACAGTATTCACTTCCAACCCAGCCAGAGAAACACGGCCAAGTGTTTTCTCGCCTGCTCATCGTGGGACCATGGCCGACTGCATGGCCCCTTTTTACCATAATGTTGAAAAATAAAGATGCCTCATTGCTCTCAGCGACAGCTGCCGGGGGTGACTATCACACCATCTACATTCGTGTCCCTAAAGGGCCACTCATGCTTTAATCAGGGTCACAGGCTCAGCTTCAACAACCAAGGCTGGGGGTTTGGGGACAGGTTTTTACCTTCTATCTGTGACCTACATGAGCTTCTCCCAGGGGGCCTCCCATATCCAGGATCACATGTTTTATAAAGTGCAGGGAGACCAGTTTCCTTTGCCTTGTGCTGGCTGGGCAAACATCTCTGACACCACCTTTTAGACAGAGCTGGCAGAGAAAAATCTGTATTTTAGAAATGTGGTCTGTGAGGGAATGAATGAAGATGTCAGGATTACACGCAGGATGTCAGCAAACGTCACTCTCAGAACTCGGCTCAAAGTCAGGGTCTACATTCCGAGTTGCGGGAGAGAAAACTCCTTCAAGGAAGTCTAAGTTTTCCTGCTGTGTTAGGTGTGCTGGAAACAAAAATGAAAACAATGCAAACAAACGAAAAATCAAATGGATTGTGCAGATCTGTAGCTGTGCTCTTTCTGATGATTTTCAAATGTTTCCATTTAAAACCTCAAGTATAAGAAATGGAAAGGCTGGGGAACCTCAACCTACTTTAAAATGCTCCTCCACATGCAAAGGAAGCAGTGTTATCTGGAGACAACAGATGTAGAGATAAAAGGCAAGTTAGGAGTTCTCTCGGGGATGCTAGATTCATTTTTTGATTCATTTAACTCATTTCTCAAGCGCCCACAAGTGCGGACATCGTTCAGGACGATGTGCAGTCAGAGTCAGGTTTGGAGGATGTAGTGGGGTTTAGGAGAGTGGGCAATGGCGCAGGGGTGAGGGCTTACAGCCTGTCTAGGGGCTGTAGGTCTTGGCAAGGCAAGGCTGGTGGGAAGGAGTGGGTATGAGGATCAGGGAGGTAATAGGGGAAGAAAAAAAGGACTCAAAGTTTCCAAGCCTGGGGACTTCCCTGGCGGTCCAGTGGTTAAGACTCCGTGCTTCCAATGCTGGAGGCACGGGTTCGATCCCTGATCGGGGAACTAAGATCCCATATGCCTCAAAGCGTGGCCAAAAAAAAAAAAGTTTCCAAGCCTGGAAGACAGAAAAACAATGGCACATTGAAAAAAGAAGGGGCATCAAGAGGAAGAGTGGGTTTGTGGGGCACTGTGAGTGTGGGTTAGACATGCTCCATTTTGGGTAACATTGGGACTGGAGGCCTCGTTAGAACACAAATGCCCGCAGGTATTCAACGCCCATGAAATGCTCATCTATTAAATCAGGCTTTTTAATGGCCCTATTCTGGGAAGCGATGAACTATTCATAAACTGATCTTCTGTGGAGGTTCAAGGATGCTTCAAGACCCAAGTAATGAGCTGACTTATGCCAAGGAACAAATAAATAAACTCATGTTTAAAATCAGGGATTGTTTTTCCTCAACAGACAGGTAAAATAACATATTACTTTCTAAAGTGTGTTAGACAAAATGTGTATGACCAAGGTTTAGGGTAACACCAGGGACAGAGTAAGGCCTTGCAAAGGAGCAAGTGAGGGTCCTTCTGTCTAGGCGGCAAGGACTGGGCAGTCGGAGGTCATTTCAGCCACGCCGGCCGCCAGGGTTGCAGCATCATCTCAGCAGCATCCTTAAACCCGCGTCTATTCTCCCAAACAGGCTTTCACAAGGAACACCCTGCAGAACACTCTGGCTGGGAAGGGAATGTGGGTGGTCCAACGTGAAGTTGAAACTGCCAGTCACATAGCAAGAATAGCTCCCTCTTCAATTCACCTTCCTTTCTTCCAGTTCAGTTGAGACAAAGTCTCCGTTTGGTGGTGGTTTGGGGTCACCCCCCAATACCTTCCAATCTCCCTTTGAGGCTAACTGAGGGTTCACCCTCAGGCTCAGAGCCTGAGCCAGTAGTAGTACCTACCTGAGATTTAGTAAAATTATTCTATTTTCATTTACCTTATATTTCTAGTAAAGATAGCATGTTTCCACTTTAATTACCATTTGTGTTTAAAATCTATTTAAAGAAATATATCAAGTGAATAATAAGTAGTATCTAGATGTGGCCAAAAAAAAAATTCATAAGGGTATGACATAAATGTCTGGAGTTGGGGAAACTGCTCTCTAGACGTAATCTGCTCTTTAACTACAGGGCCCGTGGAACAGGTGATGCAGAGAGAGAATCAGCACGAGAGGCGACGTTCACCACTGAAAAACATCACTTTTGGAAATTAAACGGCAATAGGCAACATAAATGCTAATGGATTTTCATGATCCTTCGAGTTTCATTCAATAATCACTAGACTAAAATTACTGCCGTGTACGTATACATGTATACAATGTTTCATAGTTATAAATTACCTTCTTGTGCATTTCTTTCTTAGCACCATCTCCATTTTACAGAAGAATAAACTGAGGAGTGGTTAAGTGATGGCTCTTGGGTAAAAGGGCTGCTCGGATTAAAAAGGTGCCCCATTATCACCTGGATGTAATGAGAATGCTCACATCGAAGTCTCAAAATAGATTCCGGAAGCCTGAACGTTTCAGAACCGAACGTGGGATGTGTTCCATCATTTCACAGTGGTCCACTGGGCACTTACAAAATGCCCAGTGGCTGGGGAGGGGTGGAGCGGCAATGGAGACACGAAAAGGGGACTTAAGACTCCGGCCTCAACGAGCCTCCAGGCTCACTAAGGACATTGACCAGGAGTTAGTGATCATCTACAACAGCAAATGCCTAGGTGGAAAGGGAGGTGCACAAACCACAGACACCTGTCCTGATGGGGACGGTGGCCCAGCTGCAAGGTCTGCTTGCCCCACCCCTGCAAGTCACCACCACGTCACCTCTTCGTCCAAGCGTCCCCACCCAGTGCCCAAAGTTCAGTTCCTTATTTCAGATTTCATCCTCTGTTTTCCTATCTTAGGCTCAGCACCCTGGCCTAGACAGTTAGGATGCAAAATGTGTAGAGAAACAGGAAACCCATTTCTCCATTCTGCTTTATGGAGTATTTTCTACTTTATCTGGAAAAAAAAAACATACAAAACACCACTGTGAACTGGAACCCAAATCAACCCCAGGTCCTGTCACCTTACTAGGAATTCCAGTTTATAAGCTGTGGGATGATAGAAAAATCAGCACATGATCACATAAGCTGCATCTCAGAGATGGTCACTGGACACTCCCACCCCGTCCCAGGCTGACAGATGGCTGGAAAGTCATTAGAAAGGAACCCACACACCTCACCTCCCTCTCCTCTACACAAGTAGGTCTGTAAAAAATAAAACGAAACCCCTCAAAAGGTTATCTGGGGGCAAAATCTAGACATTCAAAAATGTATTCTGATGCTATTAAACTCCCTGATTATTCAATTCAAAAAGGATAGAAATGCATGAGACATCTTACTACTGTATTGTTACAGAAAATTATACCGATAATGATATCTAATGAGCCGAACAGGAGAAGTATGAATTAATCACTACTATTAGGCCAAGTGTGATCAAAATCAGATATGGCCGCTGATTCAAAAAGGAAATATTTCTCTCATGAAAGGACGAAGACACAGCTTCTAAAAGTGTGTTTTCTGTAACGTCTGTGCTAGGAAGCCGGGATGCTGGTTAGAATGCATACTCCCTGACCTTACCCAATGGAGCCATGGGGAGAAATACGGGCATCTGTATTCTCACGGGCTCCCTCGGTGGTTCTGATACACAAAACTAAAATCTGAGATCAGTGCTATTAGGAACAGAGTCCCCTTCAATATCCAGGGAGTTACGTGCCTTCTGATTCAAGGTCTACTCCTGGCCCACCCTGGGACCCCAGTTAGTTACAGGCCTGATGCAATATCTTGTGGTTTTCGTTGGTCAGAAACTTCTAGGGCTTTGCAGATGACCTGTAACTTCCTGTAGGTGAGGAAAAACCTGGAAGCAGTGAGAACCCATCCTATATTCTCCACGGGCTGGTACTCTTTTTGTGCAGAAGAGGACGAGCCCCAGCACCAGGGACAGAATCATAGCTCCATGCCAGGAGCTGGGGCATCTGCTAGGATTTTTTTGGCTTCTCCTCCCCTCCCACGTTTGAGCAATGCTGGTGAATTCTGACCAGAAAGCATGTGGAGCCTGAGTCCACAAATTCACCTTTTGCGCAGCTTCTCAAAGCAAACTGACTGAGCCACACTGGTACGCAGCTACCACCAGTTGGGCCGAATTCTGAATTTAACTGGGCAGACGTTACATCGATGGTTCCTGTCAGATGCTGGCATTCACTGCAAGAAATCACGGCCTGCAGTTCACACACCTTGTATTTCTGGGACTTTCCCAGCACGTTTGCCAAGGAGAACATCAGAGAGTGGTCATTAGGTATTAATTCCAGTGCCTCTCTTCCAACAGCTTCGGCTTGGGCTAAATTACCTGTGAATGAACAATGGAAAACTTAAAAAACATGTTCGCGTTGTACTAGTATTTTAGTCTCTCTCTCTAATTAACAGGGCTTATGTGCATTATGTACAATGATTATGAATAAACTACTTAAGAAGATCAATGTAGAACATGTAATACACACACACATACACAACACACACACACGACCTATCAGTTGCAAAGCCACTGCAGTCCAGCACAATTCTGACATACCAACAGCTTTTGATTAAATTCTGCCAAAGCATGTAAAATCTAATTTCAATTTCCCCCAGATACCAGTTATACCCAAATCGGAGAAGACAAGTCTGCAGAATAAGAATATCACAGCCACAGTTTAATAACTGAATGTTTATAGTATTGAAGCTCACATGCTACACTTTCATTAGGAACAAGATGTGTATCTCCCTCCACACTGAGTAGATGGCTTACTAGCTTTAAATTCTGCCAAATGAAAACTATCATTTCCTATGGGATGGCTGGATTTTTAAAAGCAGGGGAACAGAGAAACTTCTAATTGATTGAGTCTCGCATGGGCTAAGAAACCAGGTCACCAAATTTATTACCATTATATTGAAAATAAGAATCTCTGAGTGTAGGTTTGAGAGCACCTCCTTTGAGTACCATCCATGAACTTTAGAGCATGGACCTAGCACCATCCATTTCATAAGCCCAGAAATGGATGGTACCTGCTCCAGGTACCTCCAGCATCCTAGATGATGGCCATTGCCAGATGACAGGCTTCAGGAGAAATGAGATGTTAGTGCACACCTGCCCCTATGACTCAACACCAACTCTAAGCGAGTGTCACCTTCCCAAACATTCATATTGCAATATGTCAAAGGAAACTCCATATTCTAGAAGTACACACATATTTGTCATGTAAAATATTGAACCCCATATTAATTAAAAACAAACAAAACTCTAACACACACTAGGGGAGAAAAAAAAAGCACAAGCATCTGTTTCCTAATTATCCAACGGCACTATACTATGGACTGACTGAATCGCTTCTCCACACCTGTGTTATCAAGGAGGATGATCATGTTGTTCCAGGCCAGGCTGTGCTCTGGCTTCAGCACGGTAGCATTCCTCCACGCGTTCAGCGCATCAACGTGACGATTTAGATCTGCATACTGAACAGAAAGCAGGGACACCCCCAATCAATATTCCAGTTCTTTTTTGTGCTTTCTTTCTACAAGATATAACCATACCAAACCCGAAACCAAACCGAACCAAACTTGTATTTATCGAGCTTGTAATTTTTCATATTAACTCATTTAGCCTCCAAACAATCTCAGTGAAGGAGAGAACTATCCCCGTTTTATAGATGAAGTAAATAACTGAGGCACAGAGAAAGGAAGTAATGTGCCCACAGTGCCATATCTAGAAATGGGAGAGCAGGGACTGAGACCAGGTGGTCTAGCTCCTGAGCCTACAACCTTTTTTTTTTTTTTTTCGGTACGCGGGCCTCACACTGTTGTGGCCTCTCCCTACGCGGAGCACAGGCTCCGGACGCGCAGGCTCAGCGGCCATGGTTCACAGACCCAGCCGCTCTGCGGCATGTGGGATCTTCCCGGACAGGGACACGAACCCGTGTCCCCTGCATCGGCAGGCGGACTCTCAACCACTGTGCCACCAGGGGAGCCCAAGCCTACAACCTTTTAACTACAACCCATAATTTAGTGATTCCAGGTGTCAAAGCATGTTTCAGACTACTTCAGAGAGGTTAAGGAAAAAACCTAATCCTTAGTATTTTTCCAGAAAGACTTCACATAGTCTATGTTTGATAAGGTATTATTTAAAATGGTCAACAAAATATTTAATATGATTAAAAGCTCTATGTGCCAAATTCACCTTGTGAAGAATGGTCTTCCTGCCTACATCTAAGCTTCCTATAAAACTGTGAGTACATCAGACATACTTTATGAACTGGTTGGAAAAGTCTTAAGCAGTAAATGTAAACGTCTTTGCCAGTTTGGAGCCTGTTTGCCTCCTTCAGGAAGGAGAGAATGATCTGTTGCTTTCTTTTGAGAGGGAATGTTAACATTGACAACAGAATATGAAATGGCTGGCTGTCAATCTGCATAGTTAATAAAAGCACGCAGAGGTAGAAGTGATGGATTGTTTAACAGGTGACCCTCTTGCCCTCTTTAACTCTGTTCAAATGCACATCTCATCTGAATGAACACGGTTCCCTTAACTCTGCAAAAAAGTACACAAGATTACAATTTATCAGAGTTTAAGGCTATTTCCTTATTTACTGTCAAGTCTGTCTTTTCATTAGACAACAGAAACATTGTGACTTGCCCCATGACCCCACACACAGCAAACAGGTGGCACAGTACGCAAGAAAAAGGTTTAAGGAATTACAGAAACATTTGTGAATATCCATTTGCTAAAGATGTCGGAATTTCCCAAGAGACTCAGAGACTCCAGTTATAATACTTTAGCCCTTAAATGAGGAAACGTGTAAAGTTTAAAGACTTAAAATAATTTAGGATGCCCAATTATACCAACATTTAATTCTCTTTATACTTGATGTTCCATTGATTTCTCAGCCAGTTCTCTCCAGCAAGTGACAGGCAATTGAGTCACGTGGAGACGATCTGTGGTGACATGCTTTCAAAGGCACCCAGGAAAACCAACATAACTTCGTTTACACAACAAAAACATTCTTTACATATTTTATTATTTATTATTATTTTTCATTACTATTTATTGAAGAACCACCCCAGCCTGAACCAGGTAACACTCCTATTCTGCCTTGAACTTTACCTTTTATACCATCTATACAAAGTGAACAAGCACTTTAAGGGAAACAGAGAAAAATGGTGATTTAGAAAGAACTACCCATTCTGAAAGTGGACGGGTAATAAGCATGTTATTTACCTATTAGTCCTATGCTCAACCTTCTATGCTCTGCAAACTACATTTCCCATGGTGCTTTGCTACTTGGCCCCCGGTCAAGTCTCTCTGCCAACAGAAGTCACAGGTGATGATCAGATAGTTGGAAGACAGAGTAGCACTTTCCCCCCATTCTCGCTCTCTCCTTCCCTGTCCTTGGCAGTGTCTCTACAGTGGCCATGTCCCCTCCCTCCACAGTCCCTGGGCTGGACTTTGGTCCTTCTGTCACAATCTCAGCCTTCAGGTGATGGTAGCTCCTGAGACGTGGTGCCTTCTATGAGCTCTTAAATTCTGGTGGCATCACTTCATTCCATGTGTTCCCCTAACCCTACAGGGTTTCCTTTTACTCTCTGAGTTAATGTCACCTTTCCATGTGTGTTCTTCCAACAACTGTCTAACCCATTCCTTGTATTGAATCTTCTCTATTTAAAATACTTAGCATGGGGACTTCCCTGGTGGTCCAGTGGGTAAGACCCTGTGCTCCCAATTCAGGGGGCTGGGGTTCGATCACTGGTTGGGGAACTAGATCCCGCATGCATGCATGCTGCAACTAAGAGTCTGCATGCCGCAACTAAAGATCCTGCATGCCACAACCAAGACCCAGTGCAACCAAAATAAATAAAGAAATAAATATTTTTTTTAAAAGAGAGAGATTATTTAAAAAAAAATACTTAGCATGGTTTTGGTTTTCCTGAATGGATCCTGCCTGATGCAATTAGTCCTTGCAAAATGAACTGTCTCCAGTCACTATTACCGTAATTTTCTAATGTTAGTAATGTGTCCCAAATAATCCAGCTCTTCCCAATTTCCTACGGCACAAGAGAAGTTCATTATAGTCCCTTCTTGCCTGTATCCAGAAATCAAAACACATTTCTGTCTCCCACTACTGAAGAGTGACTAAGGAAGGTTTTTTCAAAAAGGAAACTCTTCAGTTATTAAGTTCCTATTATTTGCCGATATAAAAATATACTGGTTGAGCTGTTAAAGATTAAGCTCTTAATGCTTTTAAGCTGTCAAGCAGGCAAAAGCTGGATAATTAAACAACAAAGGAGAGCAAAATCTTTAAATAACCAAGAACAGTTGGCAGGAGGGAACACAGAAAGATTACTTCACGGTAGCATAATTAGTAAACAGTACACAGAGAACAGTACAAGGTCTCAATATAGTCAGTACTACAGATGATCTTCTAAGTGAGAGTGGGGATGAGTTCCAGGGCCTGGAGCTCATGTGTGTTAAAATCTTCTATTTTGCATTCTATCTTCCTTTCTCTGGACGTAACTTGGCTCATTTAGCATTAATTCTCAATTTTCCAAACCCCAAGGAATCGCAGTGACAGGCAGCTACTGGGGGAAGGAAGAAGACCGCTAAGTATTAGAGCTTTAAAGTATAACTGAGGGCTCCAGGCAGGTACACTCACTTCACAAACAATACCCTGAAAAAAGAGCTGCCTCCAAAAACGAAAAAGAAAAAAGAATGAAAGAAGATTTCGTGTGGATCTCAAGTATAATATGTCACGCAAGTCCTAGCGTAGACACAGTAAATAGAAACAGTAATCCCTGCAATAACCACCGATGCAAGTATTTGGATATTACCCAATTTGTTCCCAGATCCCATTCTCACTTCATTAACTTTGCAAGGACCCACCCTGCTCTGTGTGTGACTGGATTTTCTGGTCTCTACTGGTATTATTACAGTGGAGTTTTACTGTCTCTCCCCTACTCCAAGAAAACAAGATAGAGGACCCGAAAATGCCACCCCAAATATACCATTTTGGCATAAAGATTATTGCACTGAAGGCATTTGAGAGTCAACAGATGCAGAAAGCAGCTTTCCTGGAGCTTCCCTGATCTGACTAAAAGCAGGAACTTCTGAGAAAGGAGGAGGGCCTCCCCTCCTGGGGAAGTTTTATGGCTATGGAGAAGACGAACCTACACAAACACACCTCACTTCATTATATATGTGAGGTTTCCCCATATATTTACCTTCCCACAGTTCGTCAGCTTGGAAGCCTGAAACCTCTTTCTTTGTCTTGTTATTTCTCCACAAATGTATAGTTCTCTGCTAAGATGCTACATAAGCCCAAGTTCTAACCATCCCTTTGAGTTACCCCACTTGTCTGCCCACTGCACACGGTAATAAACTCTGTTTTTCTCGTTATCACCTCCATCACCTCACAGAACTACCATTTTGTGGGTGTGCGCTTATTTTCTTTATTAAGGAAAGCAAGAGTTTTAATAATTAAGCTGTGCGTCCTCATGGAGGCCTTTCAGAAATGATGACAAAATCTATTTCACTATCATTAGCAATATATGCTTTCAGATTTTTTTTTAATTAATTAATTAATTTTATTTTTGGCTGCATTGGGTCTCTGTTGCTGCCCATGGGCTTTCTCTAGTTGAGGCGAGTGGGGCTGCTCTTCATTGCGGTGCACGGGCTTCTCACTGCGGTGGTTTCTCTTGTTGCGGAGCATGGGCTCTAGGTGCACAGGCTTCAGTAGTTGTGGCACGTGGGCTCAGCAGTTGTGGCGCACGGGCTTAGCTGCTTTGCAGCATGTTGGATCTTCCCGGACCAGGGCTCGAACCCGTGTCCCCTGCACTGGCAGGCGGATTCTTAACCACTGTGACACTAGGGAAGCCCCACGCTTTCAGATTTTAAGATTATTGAACTTACTGTATGAGCTACTGCTGTATTATTTATTTGAAGAAAGAAACTATATTTAAAAACAAAAGTCAAGAGCAATAACAGCTTTATAAATATCCTGTTAGTAACCAAAAAGAGCAAGTCTCTACAGAACACATTATGTTCTATTTCCATTGAATAATCTCAAAGCCCTTTTGTGGGCTCCTGAGCTTTCTTTTATGGGGGGATAGTTACCTGTAAAAATGCAGGAACAGTCCCTTGAGGCAGCAGAAGAGGAAAACTCAGAAGTCACATTATGGGTTTGCTTTTTTTAAATTTCAGTTTTTATTCAATTGGTGTTTTAAAAACAGAGAGACCAATGTTTATCAGGAAGTAACCCCTTGGAATACTGTTTAACAGGGCACAAAGGGACTTTTAAAAATTGTAATTTATTCCTTAGTTTAACCTGTTGCCTTTATGATCTCTTAAACTTGGCTAACTCAAGTTGGCTTGCTCTCTAATTAGAGCTAAAAAAAAACTACATGTGAGGAAATCAAATAGCTACCTTCAACTGAGATAAAAGTATGTGAAAGAGCGTCATAAGATGTAGAGGGTTAGAATGGGTGTCGCTCTTCTCACTTTATTATAAAGAAGGAAACAAAACCAAGCTTTTCTGCCGCAGCCACAGGGCACCATGTGCTTACCAAACGCCCGAGGTTGTAGTAACAATCTGGGTATTTCCTCCTGTGCTTGATCGCCGTCCGGTAACTTTGCTCGGCCGCCTGGAACCGTTTCAGGCTGTTTTGCACGATGCCTAAATTCATCCACGCGGCAGCGAAGTCTGGCCTGGAAGATAAACAAGGAAAAGAAAGGCCTAGCTCCCAGAACGCTGGAGCGCATTTCCATGCCGTGAGCATGATTATAAAACAACGCTTACTGTATCTGTACAGCCAAAGACAGCAGCTCCTCTGCTTCCTGGAGCTCATTCCTTTCTTTTAAGATATTTCCCAGATTATTCATGGCATGAACGTACTTCGGATTTAATCTGGAAGTGGAGAGAGAAACCGAGCCTGTAGTCTTCACTAAACTCTCAGGAATTGGCAAATTTATCTTAAAGTTGGGGTCCTCGTGGGGACAGGTTTTTAACGCTAGAAAGTTAAAATAAGACACGTGTACTGTAAAGACAGCATTTCTTCTGTGAGACAGGATGCTTGCAGTACCTCACAGCTTCCCGGTAATATCTAATGGCAGCTGTCTGATTGCCTTTATCAGCCAGGTTTTTGCCCACATTGTAGTGAACCTGAAAAGACAGAGAAAAATTGGCCATCAGCTGCCAGACTTCTTTGTTCAGAGCTGGGATGCCTACCATACCTTCTAAACGAAAGCAAAAGATAATGGTATTAAAAAACAAGCCCCTACCAGAACTTCAGCTAAACCCCTACAGAGGCTGGGCCGAGCTTGCTGGTGCTTTAGTGCCCTGCCCTGTAAGAAAAGATTCGAGGAAAGGGAGGTGACAAGCAGATGGTAACACTAAAGTGTGACAGCGGAATATTGGCTAAAGAACTCAACAGAGAAAACTGGGAAGTTAAGAAGCTGGGCTGGTTTTACTGTGAAACCCTGACGCCCCCTCCTTCTCACACACCTGCACCCACTAGGGCTGAGCTGCAAAGTCCAACCACACATGCATGTGAGGAAACAGTGACGATTCTGTACTTTAAACAAATACAGCACTTTCTTGTATGACACCTTTCTTCTGTAGCAATACTAGCATTCCACTTTACACTAATCAAATCCTCCCTCCCTTATTCCTTTAGGTAATGAGTGCACCCCAGGCACCATGTCAGCAGCTACAGATACAATGGTGGGCAAACCATTCAGACCCCTGCCTCCTGAGCCCTGGATGGGAGTCAAATGCCCTCATTAGTAAATGTGTCACTCGAAGGGGCCAGGGCTCTGGAGGAAGGTGAGTCTGAGGACGGCACCTGGTTGAGTGTCAGGAAGGCTGTCCTATAAAGGGCCTTCCAGCAGAGACCTGAACGGGGGTCATCCGGTAAAGGGGCTGCAGTGGAGCAAGTGTCCCAGGTGGAGCAGCAAGGGGCAGGGTCCCTGGCCTAGAGGAAGCCTGGTACATTTGGCTGAGCAGCTACAGGCAGCCTGGCGTCGCTGAGTGCAGACAGCAGGGGTGACCAGGCTACACAGGGAACCCCGAGAGGCGTTGGGTACCGTTTAGTCTTTGCCCCAAGCGAAGTGGGAGGCCAGTGCGGGGTCTGTTAAGTGCCTGAGTTTCCTAGGGCTGCGGTAACAAAGGACCACAAGCTGGGGGCTTAGAGACAACAGAAATGTATTCCGCCGGAGTTCTGGAGGCCAAAATTAGCAGCAGCAAGGCTGGTTCCCACTGGAGGCTCTGAGGAAAACGTCCACGCTTCTCTCATCTTCCGACCGTGGCCGGCCAGCCCTGGTGTACCTTGCTCTGTGGCTGGAGCGCTCGAATCTCTGCCTCTGTCTTCACGTGGCCCTCTCCCCGCCATGTGTCCATGTCTCTGCTCTCTCTTATAAGGACACCAGTCATAGTGGATTAAGGGTCCACCCTATTCCAGTATAACCTCATCTTAACTTACATCTGAATGACATCTGCAAGGACCCCCCTTCCTAAATAAACAGGGCTTAGGATTTGAACACATCTTGGGCGGGGGGGCAATTCAACCCATAACAAAAACCAGGGGCAGGAGGGTGGCAGAGGGTCAGAATCAGATTTAGGTTTATGTAAAGTAAGTCACACTGGGAAACTCACGTGAGTCAGGAGAAAGCCAATGCTGGGGGTCCAGGGAGAGCCTGTAGCTGCAGCCCCAAGAACGAGGATGGCGGACGGAGCTGGGTGGTGGTGAAGAAGTGGGGGCACCTGAGGAACACTGAAGAAGCAAAGAGCCCAGGGCAGCAGAACTAAATGGACCCATGAGGACTATTACCAGAAGTATTTACTGATCATCAAATGCTCCTCTTGGAGGCTTACAACGTAAAGGCCAACAGCAATCTCAGAGGAGATGATGCTACAGAAAAGTCATTCAACTGGGTGTGTGCAGCGTGACTAATAATAACTAACAGCAGTGGCTGGCACGTACGGAGGGACTGCTTTGGCACCATTAAGTGTCTTGCCCTAGGTTGTGGTACTAGATTTGAACCCAGGCTCCAAAGCCTGTGTTTCTTCTCACTATATCACACCCATTTATCACACCCATTTATTACGGTGCTGGGTGAAAATGGGGCCGGGCTGCTCAAGACAATTTCTAGACCCACTCATTTACCCCATGTATTATTTTTTAAGGTAAAATAATGTTACTTTTGGGTGTTAAGGGCCGCACTGTGACCCCAAAATTCATATGTTGAAGTCCTAGACCCCAGCACCCCAGAATGTGACTGTATTGAAAGATGGGGGTCTTTAAAGAGGTCATTAAGTTGAAATGAGGCTCTTCGGGGCCTTAATCCAATCTGACTGATGGCCTTATAAGAGAAGGAAATTTGGACACACAGAGAACACCAGAGATGCCTGCACACAGATGAAAGGCCGTGTGAGGACACAGTAAGAAGGTGGCCATCTGCAAGCCAAGGAGAGAGGCCTCAGGAGAAACCAGCTCTTCTGATGCCCTGATCCTGGACTTCCGGCCTCCAGAACTGGGAGAAAATAAAATTCTGTTGTTTAAGCCGCCCAGTCCATTGTATTTTCTTATGGCAGCCCTAGCAGACTGATACATGGTGAATTACAGTAATGGTTTGAGCACAATCAAGTAGCGTTATATCTGAACATTCAAAACCCCTTTTAAAAGAATAATCACATCCTGCCTTATCAATCTTAACCTACAGTGATAGCACGTCTTCAAAAATACTGATATTTCTGGAAGGGTATAGAGCACTGTGACATTCTTTAAGCACATACATAACAGAGATTTTTTTTTTTTTAATAAGTTTATTTATTTATTTTTGGCTGTGTTGGGTCCTTGTTGCTGCACCCGGGCTTTCTCTAGTTGCAGTGAGCAGGGGCTACTCTTCGTTGCAGTGAGGTGGCTTCTCTTATTGCAGAGCACGGGCTCTAGATGCACCGGCTTCAGTAGTTGTGGCACGTGGGTTCAGCAGTTGTGGCTCACAGGCTCTAGAGCGCAGGCTCAGTAGTTGTGGCTCGCAGGCTCTAGAGCGCAGGCTCAGGAGTTGTGGCACACGGGCTTAGCTGCTCCGCGGCATGTGGGATCTTCCCAGACCAGGGCTCAAACCCGTGTCCCCTGCATTGGCAGGCGGATTCTTATCCACTGCGCCACCAGGGAAGCCCGAGATTTGTTTTTTAACTGCCAATTTTAAACTCTATACATCTATTTTTACCTCATCGGACAAAAGGAATCACAAACGGGGAAATCACAGGTGACAGAAATGTATAATATTGCGCAGCACACCCCGTATAATTTAAACTTCCTAAACCAAATTATTGTCCATCTGTAGGTGTTACCATCTTTATGTTATAGCTTGCAGGAGACTAGTTAATGCTATGGCTTGATGGTGGGTTTTGAAAAGTGGGCTCGAAGTGGATTGATTTTGTGCCTCCCCCAGCCCCAGTCTGGAAGTGTTTACCCACTCCCTCACGCCCCACACACAAAGGGACCGAATCTGGAGACTCCAACCTGTGAGTGAGGATGTATGTGCCTGCAGTCCCCAGAATACAAACACAGCTTCTATGCAGACTTCAACACAGCTCCTGCCTCTTCCGCCCCTGAGCTCCTGCTGCTTTCCTTTGTTACGGGAAAATTCTGTTTTCTCAATAAAAAGCTCAGACAAAGAGCTGAACTGCCCTCTGCAGTAGAGCCGCTGTTCTGTTAGACCCGATGCCACGGACCAGGAGATCAGGGGAGGGCGGAGGGTTGCTTTGCAAAATCAGACTGCAGTGAATTCAATGGAACTAGTTAAAAACTGGACAGCCCCCTAGAAGACAAGCTGTCCATAATTAAGACTGGTAAACAGGCCAGCCTTATCCTATGCGTGACATGGAGGGAAGTATTTGAATAGAAAACAGCTGCCTAGATAACCCATTGTGAAAAACCAAAGCAAACCTCTACGAAACAGTTTACCTGAACTAGAGTTTAAAGAATGAGTGATTTTTGTTCCCCCGGAAATGTAAAGGATTGAAAAAGCCTATTTATCCTTGAACTTTCCCTCCTGCCTTTGTGATTCATACGCTGAGGCAACGAACCAGCACAGAAGCCACAGAGAAAACCCACCGTTGCAACCCAAGGATATGTAAATGCAAACGAGGTGAAAGCATCCATAGGGAAGGAGGTACATTCAACAGCAATGCTAAAACCAGTTTCTTTCAAATTTCCTGTTAAAACTTCATGTTAAACTTAAAAATGTTTTAAACACATAAAAATCCTATAACCCATCCTGGCTCATCCTTAAGGAAATACCTCATCGTGGTATATGATCCCTTTCGTTGTTAAAAGAATTTAGAATTGTATCCCAGGTTTGACACAAAGTGTCACACACTTTCAAGCCTTGAAAACTAAGAATGGCTGCAAATACAATCAGATACTTGGTGTCTCATCCATAGTAGGAATTTAATTTCTATTGTCTCAATTCAGTCACTAATACCGAGTTCCTACCATATGCAAGGGACTGTGGGTAATTCAAATGCAGACCAGGCACAGCACTGAGTCTCATTTGTAAATCTGGGCCTAATTGACAGCCAGGTGCCAATTGCTTACTTAATAGTCAGTGAATGTAAGGTGGAAATGAGTGCAGAAAAATGTATCTCCTGCAATAGAGTTGAATGAAACCAGTGTCTTTCTAAATGAGATCTCTTCCCTGAAATCAACCTAGCTCCCCCACTCCCAAAAAGGGAAGTAAAGAGAACTTTATTATACTTCAGTTTATAGTGGGAAGTAAAAAGAAAAAAAAAGAAACCTATCTTGCTCATACTGAATGGCATCACTGAAAAATGTTCTTGGAAAGGCTTATCACTACTGGGTCCATTCTGAAGATGAGGTCTTGTATGTATGTCGTAAATTTAAAAGAGAAAACCACACACACAGACATATGATTATGTGCATGACCATCTGCACACCCCCTGTGTTTTCTAGCCTGTAACATATGAAATCATAAGGCAGACGTATAGGCTCAAACATCACATATGTCCCATACTCCCTCATTTACTAGGGTAACCTGGGCACAGCACTATACCAGGCCTCTATCTACCACCTAAGTTACTAACTTAGATAAAGTCAGCTCCATCTTTCCATGCCTCAGTTTCTTTCATTTGGAAAATTAAAGAAAATAACCTCTCTGACAACCTTCGAGGGAGAATAATGGAGATTAATGATAGAGCCTCTACAAAGAAATCTGAGTTCCTTCTGCAGAAGAACTATATAAATAGAAGGGGTAATTACTGCCATTCAAACAGAAAAGTAAAAATAAAGCAAATCTATTAACATTATGAAATTAAATCACAGGCAATTTATTTTTAATAGCATAAAATAAATGGCTAGGTCAGCAAATCAAATTAACAATAAAAGCTTGAAATAATTCACTCTTATCTCAGCCTCTAACTATAAAACACAAACAAGGTTTTTTTTAATCCAAGGAAAAGACAAACAAGGAGTCAGCACCTTTTATAGTATCCCTCACTCCACGGTCACAATAAGACATCAACTATTCATTAGAATTCTTCATATAATTTTGCCTGAAATCACCGTTTTCTCTTAAATATAGAATGTGGAAATGAGACAGAGCTCCATGGAGTTTTTATCCTCCCCCCACTCCCCCATCACAATTAAGCATCCTAGGAAGCTCCAACTCTGATGACACCAAAGGAGAACGGGACCGTTATTTAATAATAATAATGATCTATACTAACAGAGAATTCTTCTAACCTAACTCCTTGGCCTCCCTTTTTTTTTTTTTTTTTTTTTTTGCGGTACGTGGGCCTCTCACTGTTGTGGCCTCTCCCGTTGCGGAGCACAGGCTCCAGACGCGCAGGCTCAGCGGCCATGGCTCACGGGCCCAGCCGCTCCGCGGCACGTGGGATCCTCCCGGACCAGGGCACGAATCCGTGTCCCCTGCATCGGCAGGCGGACTCCCAACCACTGCGCCACCAGGGAAGCCCTTGGCCTCCCATTTTGAGCAAGTATCATTCCCTTCTTTTCATTTAATGGGACAACCAAAACTAAAAGGAGCCTATGAAAGCAAACATTTCTGGATCACCCACTATGTTCTAAGTACCATGTCAGGGCACTTCAGAGGCCACATTTCATTAAAGCCTCACAACAAACCCAGGAGATAGGCACTGTTGTCCCGTGTCCCTCCCCTACCAATACCCCCGCCCCTTTGCCCAAAGAGGCACAGCTGGGTAAGTGAAGAAATTCATCAAGGATACAAGTGAAACATACTCGTACCAGACTGTGTCAACAAAAACACTGCCAATTTTAAAGTCTGTACATTTATTTTTACCTAATCTGGCAAAAAGAATCCCAAGTAGAGAAGCCACAGGTTTGATAGAACTGTGTGCTGCTGAACACCCCACAGGGTCCTTTAAACTTCCTGAACTGAACTGCTGTCCACTCACAGGTATTATCACCTTCCAGTTACAGATTTCAGGAGGCCGGAGCACGTGTTTTGAAAAGTGTGCTCTACATGGTTCGACTGTGGGCCTCCCCAGACCCCAGACTAGATATGTGGAGTTACCTTCCCTGCCACCACTTTAATCCATGATTTGGACCAACTGGAAGATGAGTAAAAACTTGTTTAGGTAATCTGCTGTTTCACTGACATTGTCTGGTTTTAATAATTTCTTTTGTATTATTTTGGCTAAGTGCCATTTTAATAAATTTTGTCAAAATCATTTAAAAGAAAAAAAAAAGAAAAACCCCAAGTATATGATCAAGGTCATATGCCGGATTCCATGTGAAGGTAAACATTCTCCTTACTCAGCTGTCAAACTTAAAACATGGCAGCCAACATACCTTGGCGTTGAGAGGACACACAGACAGGGCGCTTCTGAAAAGCTGTTCCTCGTTCCGCCACTCGCCGCTGCGAATCACGCATCTCAGCGTGTTTATGAATAAAATTCCCAGGACGAAAGCAGCAATCAGTTTCTTAAGAAGAGAGGGACATGGGAAATGTCATTAGTAAAATCCACCCGTCGTCTTGGTCAGGAACGGCACCACCGCTCTGGGCCAATACCTTTTTCTTAGTATGTTTACTGAGAACTCCAAATCCGAAAGTCAGCAGCATGCAGTACCCAGCGCTGGGGAGGTACAGGACCCTCTCTGCCACCACGAAGCCCACTCGGAAGAACAGGTTACTCGCGGGAAGAAATGGAATGATGAGAAGTCCCAGGCCCAGCGTGAGGATCCTGGAAGATGAGAATTAAAATGGTTACTTTTAGACTGTTCCAGAACCATGTCCTCCTTAACATTAAATTCACGATAAAGGCCCGCCCCCCTTTTTTTTTCATGCCAGCAACTGAGAAATGGCATCAGTAGAGAGGGTCTAACCAGGCAGCATTAGGATAAGATATAAAAATCTTACTAAGGCACTTAGCGTCAAGCATAAGGATAAAACTTACATGTCACAAAATTCACATGAATAAAGTTAGAATGATTACTTTGCGAGGCCTATGAATGCACCTGCCCCTGACTATACCTTAAACTGTGTAGGCGCTGAATAGCTCAATGGATATTGGTCCCAATTAGACCAATTTAGTCCCCCATCCCTGCCAAACTTAACAGAAGTAATGCTACTTAACTGGTTTAAACTTCATGAAATCTGAAATAAACTAATATCATTTTCGGGCACTATGGCATCAATTTCAGTCAAGTAAAAAGAAAGCCAAGAGCAGTGGAACACTTCTGGAAGTAGGCAATCATTCCCAATCTCCCACAGATGTAAGAGAATGAATTTAGAAGCAAGGTCAAACAACAAGGTCCTACTGTACAGCACAGGGAACGATATTCCATATCCTGTGATAAATCATAATGGCAAAGAATATAGATGTATAACTGAATCACTTTGCTGTACAGCAGAAATTAACATAACATTGTAACTCAACTATACTTCAGTAAAATTAAAAAACAAACAAAAAAAAGAAGCCAGGTCAAATGCGGTGGCTCCTTCCCAGACCCTGTGCCTGTAGTACTAGAAAAATCCTATTGCACGTGTATAGTGGATTGGGACTATGGCTTGTCGCCCTTTAGAATTACGTACCAATTTAAGCCACGGGTAAACTTAAAACTGAATTTATTTTGAGAAATTACTAATCTAATTCCATCAACACTTATGCTTAAAGGAAATCTTCTTAAATAGTTTTCTTTCTCATAAAACACATTTGTTTTTCCCCCAATTATTTTCTCAATAACCTTTTTTTCCCTTTTCTGAGGTGTGAGAAAGAACAGGCTCTTTGGGGTGGCAATTTATTTTGTACCAAATAACAAGAGAAGGAATCACTGTAGCATCCACTAAGGTTTTCTGAAGCAGAATTGTGAAATAATGGGCACAACACACATCAATTACACTCTCAGTTCTGACCATAAATTACTCTTTACCACCTACAGCGAAAAGGATCTCAAAATGCTGCTTCACGGGGAAAGAGGGAGGGACAGATAAAGCAGTCATCTGCAACTCCCCCCCTCCAAGTTCACTCCCCACTAGTTGAAGCCAGCCATGGATTCCAAATGGATAGAACTCATCCTGGCCATAAACATGTATTTGAAATAAAGGTCCTTAGATATTACTTCCACAAAATCGTTAAAATGATCAGTGCTGGATTTAGCAAAATGCTCTGACTCCACCCCGTGTAGAAGTTAAAATTCAGCTTGGCCTCTTACCGTCTCTTGTGGCTGTCTTCAGAGCACAGGGCTTGGCATATCAGGCCAATTAGGCAGAACCAGAGTGCTGCTAGAGCAATTACCCTCCAGTCCCCGACTGACTTAATGAGGGGGATGCAGCCCATTGACCAATCAAAACACAGCCACCAGGGGCACAGCAGCAACCAGGCATTCAAGGAATAGTAGTAATTATAGTTTATGGCCTGTCAGTCAAAAGAAAAACAAACATTTATTTGATACTGAACTTGGAAAAAATATATATCCTAGCTTCACTTTGGAGGCATCCATATGTTTCTGCTCAAGGAGAGCAGTTGTATAAAATAAGATGTTGCCACGTTCTACTTGGGCACGGGCTATAGTTTGCAGTTTACTAAATGCATTGAGATTTTTAATAGATAAAAATACAGCAAAGCCACCAGACTCTGTTATACATTTGTTATATTTCTGGTGACACTATGTCCTGATTACTCACTGATGCCCAAAGTCTGTGACCCAGGAAATCTGAGGCCCAGGGGTCACCCATGTGCCGGACAACCTAAGTATAGGGTCCTACGGTCCTTGATTTCTGTCTCTGAAGGCACAGCTAAGATACCCTTGCCTTCAGAAAAAGCAAACCTTTACAAGAAAGTCTGGACACCATAGACTTTTAAAGAGACCACAAGGGGTGGTCAGGACTACATGCTTCCATTGCAGGGGGCACGGGTTTGATCCCTGGTCCAGGAACTAAGATCCCACATGCTGTGAGGTGTGGCCAAAAAAAAAAGATACTGCCAATCTGGTTATATTTTATCTTAACCCCGCCATGTCAGTTTCCTTTATAACCAAAGTGATGGGGTTAGGGGACAATTTAAGGAGGCTGGCAAGAAACCTGACATTTTCTAAACCACTCCTCTTTAATTTTGTTTAGAAAGGAAATACAAAGGGTTTATACCTTCTCAATGCCCTAATAAAAACCTGGTTTCATCCTAGAACAGCCTTGGTGAGAGGAAACACACGTGGAAGTGTTCTGCTTATGGGAGCTTCTGTGGGTGCAGGGGAGGGAGGGAGGGGAGAGCTGGGAATCTGGTGGGCAAAGAAGAGGACCCATCGGAGGGCAGACTCAGGACTCACCCTGACCAGCATGCTACTGGCGAAGGAGGCAGGGTTGTCGACTTCGGTGAAGGCCGGAGGGCCGGTGCCCATGATCTTCCAGCGCACGTAGAGCACCCCTGTTCCCCCCAAGGCCAGGAGACTCATTCTGAAGAGGAGGCCCTCAGTCCTGAGCACGCCAGTGTTCTGAAAGGACACCGCAAGGCCCCTGACGTCTCAGAATTTTCAGATAAAAGTGTGGCCATGCCAGGTACAAAGGTGCAGCAGTTCTGGCTGAACCGCACTGACACCATGCTTTAAAGGGCTGGCTATTTTAGAATTCAAAGTTGCAAGAAATACTTTGAAAATGGCATTTTAAATCCGCTGGTACTTGACATTTTCCGCATCTGGGCTGGAGACAAAAGCAGATACTCACCTCTAATGATCGGTCCTTATGTAGTACCTTCCGGACCAGTTCCAGAACATTTAATTTGCCTATCACCAAGATGTCAAAGACGGCATTCAGACCCTAAGAGAGCAAAGCAAGGAATCAGCGATGGGGCAGCCTAACTCTGATTAGATAACAATTATCCGTCACAATTTTATTGCTGAATCTAGACAAGAAATGTCCTGGATTAGATCATCACAGATGACCTCTTTAGCTCTAAAAACAAAACCGAAAAATCTTACTGTTCCTATGAAATGAGCTCATGTATTATATCAAATTTATTATCTAGTAAATCCCTGTTAGTCTGCATATAAGAGTACTATAAGATGCAGGAGAGCTAGACCTTTGGGGTTCCCAGGAGAAGCTCTGCAGAGGCCCCCCGCTTCCATTTTTTTCTTTACTATTCAAGTCCCTTAGTTGTAAGAGCCAGCACCTGTGCAGTGGTCACACCTAAGAAGATAAAGGCAGTCATCAACCTTGAAAATCCAGCCAAGTAAGTAATTACACTTCAGGAACCCCAGGTGCTGCCTGATTTGGGCAAATGCCACGGAAGAGAGGGAGCAGAACGTAGAGTCTCCGGTGGGGCTCCGGAGACCTCTCAGGTTCACACTCCTGGCTGTCCGCTAGATCTCCCTTCCTGCCGGGCACACAGCCAGCCCTGCAGGAAAGCATGGTCACGTGACTGAGTTCCAGCCTATGGGATGTGGGCAGAAGTGATAACGTGCCATCTTGGAGGTTTGGACATAGGCTGGGGTGCCCCGCCCCCCTCGGTTTCCTGTCCAGCTGTGGCAGAGATGATGGAGCTATTCAGAGTGACACTGGAGACCACACCCTGAAGACGGCAGAGCCTCGGCCAGCCTGACCCGCCTGTGTGGAGGACAGCCACCGCTGCCCACAACTTTTAGGGGGATGACAAATAACTCCAATTACGTGGAGCCACTGGCCCTTGGGAGTGTGATACTGCAGCTCCATTGCTGCTAACAGCTTCCAGTAGCATCACGATAGCTCCTTTCTAGCAGGTGATGGCTGCTCTTGAAGCTATGACACCTACGGTCACAGGCTGAAGGCTCATCTGGCCTTGGACTCTACTCTCTACCCTGCAGTGGACTTCCTACAAATGGGGCCACTGCAAGCAACGTCATGTGGCCGAACTCCCTGCCGGAAGCAGGTAAAGTGGTCAGAACAGACACTGCGTAGACGGTTCAAGCTGCCCCTCAATGACGGGGCTCTTTTTAGTATGGGGCTTCGTGGCAAAGAAGATCCTAAATCATCAGAAGCCAGTGGTAATTTGTGGTTTTCAGAGCAAGGGTGGCTTCCCTACTTAACCCCCTCCCATAAATGCTGGGAGCCATTAATTATCCAATACACAGGCCAGTGCTGGGTTAATCACTTCACAGAATCCTGATTTTATGCACCCATTAGATGAATGATTTTAGTGGGTCACAGAGGGCCATTTCTGCCTGGGTCTGAACCATTTTCTAGAAGGCAGAAGCTCCCTGTTGAGCTGTGCTGTCTTCTTATACCATTTGTTTTCCTGCCTGGGAGCTATAGGACAGTCACCCAGGGATGACGGGGTCATGTCGTCACGAGGACTGAGCCGAACACGAGTTTGGCACTCCCTCCTCCTTCCCGTGGAAATTCATCACTGAAGTGTCCACATTCTAGTCAGATTTTTTTGAAACCTGCTCAATTTCACCGTATCTTTATTCATGTAAATTCAACCTAATTTTGTAGTGCTTCTCAAACACTGATGGACGTAGGAGTCACCTGGGGGCCTTGTTTTTTTTTTTTTGCGGTACGCGGGCCTCTCACTGCTGTGGTCTCTCCCGTTGCGGAGCACAGGCTCCGGACGCGCAGGCCCAGCGGCCATGGCTCACGGGTCCAGCCGCTCCGCGGCATGTGGGATCTTCCCTGACCGGGGCACGAACCCGTGTCTCCTGCACTGGCAGGCGGACTCTCAACCACCGTGCCATCAGGGAAGCCCTGGGAGCCTTGTTAAGGGGAGATTCTGACTCAGCAGGCCTGGGGTGGGGTCTGAGATCATAAGTTTCTAACACCCTCCCAGACGCTACTGGTCCTCAAAACCCACACTTTGAGACAAGCATGGGTTTACAGCGGTGTTTCTCGCAGGTTGATTTTGTCCTCCCCCCCCCTGCCAGGGGGTGTCTGGCAATGTCTGGAGACATTTTAGGTTGTCACAACTGAGGGTGGGTGTCCTTCTGGCATCTAGTGGGTAGAGACCAGGAACATATCCTATGATACACGGGACACACCCCAAAGAAAGAGTGATTCATCCCCAAATACCAGTGCTGCCAAGGTTGAGAAACACTGGTTTAGAGCAAACTTTTAAAAAATAACTCATGAAGTTCAAGTATCTTTGCACAGTAATTCTATGCCATTTCCTAGCTGGCTAACCTTAATCCTACAGACCAAGCCCAATAAAACCAGCCTCGGCTGGTGTCAAACCCCAAAGAGCTCAGACCGCTCTTTCTTTCCCACAGCTTCCGATACGAGCCACACACACCCCCATCTCTGTTTTCCATTTCTCTACGTCCGCGCACATCCCTAATGTCTCAGCTTCCCTGTAATAATGTAAGGTGGGAAAACTGGCTAGAATGGAGAAAAAGGAGAGTGCCTTTCAATGCCTCTCTCTTTTTGGGGCTTCAACTTAGATCGGACATAGGAGGTGCATGCCTGGACTCTTCAGAGCCCTCTCCTCTCCTCTCTGATGTTTCCGGTGAAGCTGGGTATAACGTAACGCACATCAATGCACGTTTGGAGCAGAGGTGGGGTCAGAACACTGCTGTATTTAGAACACTGCTGTATTTAGGACTGCCGACATGAGAGCACCCCAGAAAAGCCACAGCAGTCTTGTTTCTCTTTTCCCTAGGACCTCTCCAAGAGGGCTAATCACTAGTCTTCAGGAACTGTCCCCACTCTGTGTCCACCAGTTCTGATGAGAGGCAACTGAGACAGTCAATTCCCACGCAAACCGCCAGGGGCATGACAGCACAGGTAATTAATTGGTCCAGAACGGTGTAGGACTGAAGGCCGGTAACGGGGTGCAGTAAAGGAGGTCACTGGGGCAGGGCAGCCCAAAATGTCCTTACGGGAGGGAAAGGGGGTGTAGGGAGACAGGCCCCGATGGTACCTCGGGTCTTACCAGCACAGTGATCCCTTGCTCTTTGCACAGCATGGCCACTGCTCCCAGAAGGATACTTAGCAACACCCAGAACATGGACTGCGTCCCCTCCTTGTTAGCTGCCAATCAGGAGAAATGACAAATACAGAAGTCATGCGATATAGCTCAGTCTTGTTAACACCTGGAACTAAAATTCTAAGCATGCACCTTCAATAGCCACAATTTAAAAACAGTTTGGTCTTCGGACAGCATTTCTCTGTGGGTGAGTGTGTTAGACCCACACTTCTGGTTAGACAGCACCCTCTACATGGCACACACATCTCCTTCTCAAGGGGACCCCAGCAGGTGCCCAGAGCCTTTGGGAGGCACTGTAATGCAGCCCTGGCCACAAAGACATCTCAAGGCAGAGTCCCCAGGGGGCAAGTTCCTTCTTCCTACCTGGCCAGTCACCTAACAGGCCATTCTGAGAGGGCGTGCCAAGAACTCTCACTGGGGGTGTATGCACTGCATCTGGTTGCACAGGACCCAGCAGTCACTGCTGCTGTTACAACAGGGGGCGACGGGAATCCCCAATCTGCTCTAAGAATCTCGACAACTCCCAGGGTTGGAGTCCAGCACTGCTCTGAGAGCGGCTACCCCTTCCGGGTGGAATCTGGGCTCTCTAAACACCTGGTGGCTTAGGAACGTCTGCTCTGCTACCATCGTGGAATAGCTCTGTAGGATGCAGGATGCAGGACCAGTGAGGCCACATGCATGGACACTCAAGCAACAACAGGAAGTCAAAGCATCACCAGAAATGTGACCGCTGTAGTAAGCAGCTTGGGTGGGGCTGAGCTCCAGTCATAACTGATGGTCCCTAAATGGCCTTCTGAGGAGGGTGGGTCTGCTATCCACTGGCGGGTGGCTGGTGGATGCAAGTTGGGGGCCAGAGCTGAACTGCTCAGGAGGAGAAGAAAGGGCACATGTGATGCTCCTCTCTGTTCCTCTGTGACACCCTCACCTCCTCATTGAGGTAGATGGTGAACAAACATTTAAAAAAGACCTAAGTTTAGCACCCCTATGTTCACAGCAGCACTATTCACAACAGCCAAGACATGGAAACAAGCTAAATGTCCACTGACAGATGAATGGATAAAGTAGATGTGGTATATATACACAATGTGTATACACAATATATACAGTATATTGAGTAATATACACAATATTACTCAGCCATAAAAAAGAAGGAAATAATGCCATTTGCAGCAACATGGATGGACCTAGAGATTATCATACTAAGTGAAGTAAGTCAGAAAGAGAAAGACATGGGACTTCCCTGGTGGCGCAGTGGTTAAGAATCTGCCTGCCAATGCAGGGGACACATGTTCGAGCCTTGGTCTGGGAAGATCCCACATGCCGTGGCGCAACTAAGCCCGTGCGCCACAACTCCTGAGCCTGTGCTCTAGAGCCCTGAGCCACAACTACTGAGCCCACGTGCCACAACTACTGAAGCCCACGTGCCTAGAGCCCGTGCTCCACAACAAGAGAAGCTGCCGCAGTGAGAAGCTCGAACACCGCAATGAAGAGTAGCCCCCACTCGCCGCAACTAGAGAAAAGCCCGCGTGCAGCAACGAAGACCCAACGTAGCCAGAAATAAATAAATTTACAAAAAAAGAAAGACAAACACCATATGTTATCACCTATATATGGAATTTAAAATATGACACAAATGAACCTATCTATGAAACAGAAACAGAATCATGGACATAGAGAACAGACTGGTGGTTGCCAAGGGAGAGGAGGTTGGGGGAGGGATGGAGGGGGAGGCTGGGGTGAGCAGATGTAAGCTTTTATATATAGGATGGATAAACAACAAGGTCCTACTCTATAGCACAGGGAACTATATTCAATGTCCTGTGATAAACCATAATGGAAAATATTAAAAAAAGAATGTACATATATGTATAACTGAATCACTTTGCTGTACAGCAGAAATCAACACAACATTGTAAATCAACTATACTTCAATTTAAAAAATTAATTTAAAAAATAAAAATTTAAAACACACCTAAGTTTGAGGTAGGGCAAAGTGAACCTGCTTGGAGGAGGTGCCCATCAATCTTGGGTCACCTCTGCTTAAAACCGTAACTCCTGGTCTAAATTCCAGCTCTGCCGTTTACCAAGTAGCCTTGAGCGAGTTACTTTTACTAACCATCTCAGTGACTTCATCAATAAAATGGGGGCAACATTACCTATGTATCCCCTACTTGAGAGAGAAAAAAAATATAGAAGTACCTGGCCACTTGTGTTAAAAGTTACATAACTATGCTTGTAAATGCAAAACATATCTCTGGAGAACACAGGTGAAACTAACTACGGTAGTTTCTGAACAGTTTTAAGAAGAAAAATTCAGGTAGGAGAGGGAGGAAGTCTTACTTTCACCGGGTAATGTTTCATACTGTCTAAATTTTCTTAACTATGTGCATGTACTAAAAACCATACTAAAAACTACACATTAAAAAAAATCACTTGGTATAGTGCCAGGACCCCAGAAAGCATTCAGTGTTTGTTGCACATTAATCAGCAAAATCACCCCAGGTTTGAGGGAGAAGGTCTTTCAATGGGGCTTTGATGCAAGGGGGTGGCTGATCTGTCACCTTGTCACCAAAATGTGCCAAGCTTATTATTCAGTGAAAAGATGCACCTTGGTTCTCATTAAACTGCTTGAGCAAGAAACCAACAATTAAGGGGTGTGTGTGTGTGATGCAGATCCTGAGTGAAGTGAATATGTAAGAATCATCAGCAAAACCCCAGGATGAAAGTCCTGGGCTCCCTGTCCTGAAACAGCTGTGGGGTCTGGGTTGGGAAGTGCTGCTAGCCTTGAACTTTCTACGTGTGGGTGGAGACTCCTCTCAACATATCGAGGGTCTGCAACCAGCCGAGCCCCCTGGACTCTCAACAAACTGTGAACAGGACTGAACCCCCTGCTGCTAAGGGCCCAGTAGGCTGGCGGGGAAAGTGTCCTAGTCACAAACAGGCTATGATGGCTGGAGAGATTCGGAAGTCTAGCAAAAGGACACAAAGGCCAACATTTTCTAACCCTTTCAGCTTTTCTTGGGACCCTCCGTATGTCAAATTTCCAAATTTAATGTACAAACAGGCAGAACTAATAGAATACAGAAAAGTCTTATTTGGCTGTATAGTTGAGGCACCAGAAGGCTTTTCACCAGGCCAAATGATCAACAAACAAGAAAGCCTCACTGATTTGGAATCCACTGTCCCATAAAACACAACGAACACTCTTGCTGTAAGCCTTTCCAATCCTTCCTGCCGCTGACGTGATAAAGGGGTCCCAGTGCTGAGAATGGCATTTAAGGCCTTGCTGCTGGGCGACACAGCCTCTCTCCGGGTTCCCTCGGTCTGTATTCCAGGCACACGGGTCAACCTGCTCACTGGGCTTTGCACATTCCACTCTCTTAGGCTAGAACGTTCCCGGCAGAATCCTGCCATCTTATTCAGCTGCCAAAGGTCACTTAGGCTGTGCGACCCACTCCCACTCTCTTGGGCAGCCTCCCTTCCCAATTCACTGGGCTTTATTCACAGTTAGAACAACAGCACGTGGTCCTACTGTGGGCACGCCTGACTGCCCAAGAGCAGGGTCTGTCTCACACACGCCGGTGCCCCTAACTGACCCCCTAGATTAAGTTAGGCCCAGCATAGCACCTAAACTGCCCTCAGCACAATCAATCCCTACATTCTTCTCACACTTTATTGCAAATGCTTGATTTTTCTGTATTTTCCCCAGATGGGGCTTCTCACCCTTGGCACTGCTGACATTTGGGTGGGCCAATTCTCTGCATCGTAGGACGTTTAGAGCCTCCCTTGTTTCTACCCATGAGATGCCAGTAGCACTTCCAGCCCTCAGTGGTGACGAGCAAACATGTCAGACTTTGCCCGATGTCCTGGGGGTGGGAGGGGATCACGCCCAGTTGAGACCATTGCACTAAACCTGTGCCACTCACAGCGTGTGGTCCATGGACCTACCCTGAGATCCTGTAAGAAAGGCAGACTCTCAGGCCCCACCCAGAACCTCGGACTCAGAAACTCCAGGGTGGAGCCCAGCTGTGAGCCTTTGAACCAGCCCCCCAGGTGATTCTGATGCTAAAGGTCAAGAAGCTTCACCCTAGATGGGAAGCTTGCTCACCGGTGCATCCCGGGCACCAGGCCTGGCTCTTTGGAGCAACTCCTCCAAGCTCCAGAATCCGCAGCACCTGATTATCTACCGGAAGGGGCAAGGAACTGACGAATCACAGAACCACAGTGTAGGAACAGCTGGAGCGCTCTGGGAGGTTGTGCCTATCATCTCCCTTGCAGTGACGGGAAGGCCGGAATCCCTTCCGAGACGTTTCCAGCCGGGGGCCACGGGGCCTTGACTTCAGGAACATCAGTGATGGGTGTCACTTTCCATGACAGTTTCCATGACAGCCCATTTCGGTTTTAACGTTGGGTCGTGTAACACGCTTTCTTAGAGCGAGCCCACGCCAGCCTCCCCCCACCTCCTGCTGCCCTAGAGCAGTGCCTCTCCAATAGCCCAGGTGGCACAGTGCCTGGGAGCCAAGTTCTCTTTATCGCAAACCACTGTATATCGGAATATTTAGTTCCATCAAGCAAACTATGGATAATTTCACTTGTAGAAATTAATTACGTTTTATATGTAATACCAAGAGATCACAGTTACGAGCCACAACAACAGAGCCTTGTTACATTAGACATGACTGCGCTGGGGTGTTTACATATTTATTGGAATTTATTATTATTTTTGGCCCTGCCGCTTGGCATGTGGGATCTTAGCTCCCCGACCAGGGATCGAACCCGCACTCCCTGCATTGGAAGCGTGGAGTTTTAACCCCTGGACTGCCAGGGAAGTCCCAGGAATTTATTATTTTCTTTGGGCATTTGTAGCAATCATTAGCAGACAAGTGCTCACAGACACCAAGGCTTTAAAAACAAACAAAAAAGGCCAAAATAACCCTAAAGCTATTAGTTAATTCCTTTTAGGATATGATTTAAAGAAAGGCCTCACATGTTTTAGCAGGTGAGCACAAGGGTCCAGCTGGCAAAGCAAAGGTGATGACACTCA